GCCTTTGTCTGCATGGAGCTTAGGTCTGGCCAGGAAGCAGGCGTTAGACACCCGCCTGCGGTGAGTGCAGGAGTGGTCAGTGCTAGGAAGGAGGGGGATGGGAGCTGCGCAGGTAAGAGGGGGACCACGCGAAACTCGGGGCTCAGGGAAGCCTGCCCCTAGCAGGTTCTGAACTGAGAAGCTGGCTGGACCAGTTGGAAACCAGTGAGAAGGGCTGTGTGTCTGGAGTCCAGGGAGGAGGGCGGGAGGGGCTGGTGCCTTAGAGAACATGCGTGTGATCAGGTCTGCTGTTGGGTCAACTTGAGCGAGGAAGGGAGGAGGGGAGAGACTGGCGGATGAGTTAGGGCATGGGCTCAAGGTGGGGACCTGACTCTGCCTCTTGTGAACTCAGGTTTCTGTTGGTTTACTTAGTGGTGAAGGAAAGAAACCAGCTGACACACCTTGAAAGACGCTGAAAGAGCTGAGAGTCAGGTGATGGTTGAGGACTATCATCTCCTCTGACCAGAGCACTGACAGCCTCCTCTTGGGTGCTTCCTCCTGATACCCAGGAACCGGAGAAACAGAATTTGTAGGGTTTTATGAACATGGAATCATGGGGAAAAGAGGTATGTAGTTTTGTGAGATGTTTCAGTTGAGCTGGAGGGACATTCCTGCCCCATCGTGTATTTCACGTTTGTTAGCCCTGGGGTAGTGCATCCCCAAGATGGAAGGGTTTGTGCTTTCTTAGAGAAACCTTCGTGCACTGGTTCTCCTTTCTCTGACGACCAGAAACAAATTATACGTTTCAGCTCATTTTACATGAACTTAAATTTTAGTTGCTTGATGAGATTTGGGAGCCCCTCCACTCACTCTGATTACTTAGTTATGAAACCTCTTTTAGGGATGGATTATATGCTCTCATGCCTAATCTCTTATACTTCGTGTTAAATTTTGTGTTGGTTTCGGAAAACAATGCTTTCTGACCGTGTCCTCAAATTCTAGAGATGAATAATACTTGGAACCCATGGTTTCCTTTAGGTCCATGGGACATTTTGAAAATCCTATAGATAAAAAAAACTTCAAGGCAGTAAACAAACCAAGATTTTAATCTAACAGGAACGGTTTTCCCCAAGTCTTTTCTATCAGTTGCGGGAGTTCTGTGAAGACCTACTTTGTGTCCAGCCTGTGCCAGGTGCTTGAGGGACACAAACGAAGTGACAGGTACTGTCAAGAAGCCGCCATTTTAGTTGAGTAGAGCGAATCCCCATCATTGCAGCGGCCGACATCTACTGATGAAGAAACCGAGGCTCCCTTCGTTAAGTGACTTGCCCGATGTCCTACAGCTGTAAAATCCAGGATTCAGATCCTAATCTATTTGAATCCAAATCCCAAGCTCTTTCTGTTCCCCTCCTGTGCCTAAAGGAATCCAAATCCAAGGTAGGATGGAAGTTAGCTGGGCCTGGAGAACAGGACATTTTTTTTTCTTTTTTAGTTCAATTTATGTTAACTTCCAATTTTTCGATGTCTGGGTTAGTAAAAAGAGCTTCTGCATTTGGTGACGGTTCTGCTGAGGGATTTTCAAGTATTTGTTTGTTTGTTTCCGGGAGACATACATCTCTGTGTTCTTCTTATGAGAAGGTAACAATGTCGCACGGCATGAAAGAAACATGGTGACTAGATGTTAGCGCCAGCACAACTGCATTCCAGCTTTTATTTTCCTTTGAAACAAGTTCCGTTTGTGCAGAATGGCGAAGCAGCATGCTTTGCTGGAGGGAACGAATGCCCCGACATTGGGGAACAATTTTACATCAGTTTAATACACGGTTGGGCTGCAATCGATAGCGCCTCTAAAATCATAGGGGCTAAACAAGGTGGAGTTTTACCTTTCACATAAAAATCCCAGAGACAGCCCAGGGTGGCGGAGGCACTCCATAGAGTCAGGACCCAACGTCTGTCTTGGTACTTTTCTGGCCTTGACTCTGACCTCGAGGTCTAAGACACTTGTATTCGTGTGTCAGGCTGCAGATCCAGGGGTAGGGAAGAGGATGAAGGGGCAGAAGTAGGCCCCCGCACTTGCATCTTTGCGGGGGCCTACCAGGAGCTGCTTCACCCCTCCACCTGTACCACATAGGCCAGGAATGAGTGTCACGGTGACACCTAACTTCAAGTGGGATGCAGTCTTCATTCCGGAAGGCCATATGCTTAGTTAAAAAATAAAAGGAGAATGGCTCTCAGGGGACAGCTAGCAGTCTGCCACCACGGCCACGGGTGGACCCTGGCCCTCCCAACCCCTTTTTCAAGCACCTGCAGCCACTTCATGGACATGTACACGCTTGAGGCACCACTTCCAGATAAAGTTAACAAAAAAGGGGTTCATCACAATTTAAAAACAAAGATGAAACCAAATATTTAAAAATCAGTAATAGTCACGATTTCATCTTGGTGAGAGGGATGGTACTGTCTCCCATGTTTCACTGAAAACATCATTTCTGGGGCCATGATGGAGAGCTGGGACTTCAGGTCAGCTTCACAGATGGTTTCTTTTCTTCCTCTTTCTTTTCGCTAAATTAGAAAAGCTAAAATTACCGTTAGAAGTAGCAGCAAGTGACTGATGACTCCGTCTAGTGGTCCTGGTATTGTGGCCGTAGGTGGACAGAGGGATTGGGGCAATTTCCCAGTGAAAGCCGCTTCCAGGGTTTTGTCGGAACTATGTCCCCTTGGGAGCTTGAAGGCTCAGTGTTTCATCTTAGGACTGCCTCTTAGATTCCTCCCATCCTTTGATTCAATTTTAGTCTAAAAGGCATGTCTTTAAGTTCTGTTGCAGCCCTCGGATGTGGTTTTTAACTATGCACAGTAAGTGTCCTGTCTGTCTTTGGGATGAGAGGAGAAAACCACCAGGTAGAGCATAGACTGCCTGGATTCGAATACTTTTCAAAATCATACTACCTGTGTAACTTTGGACAAATTATTTGAATTTTCCCTGCCTCGATTTCCTGAACAATAAAGTGGAGAGTGATAGTACCTGTGACTATAGTACGAGCCAAAACACACAACCTCCCTGCCCTGTCCGGGCGCACGATTCATACTCAGTGCAGATGCGCCACAGTGATGGGTATTGTTTTCAGGTATTTGTCAACTCTAGACCATCCGAGACTTTCAGACCACCGTTCAGCCTTCCTGCGAAATGCTGGTTTCTTCTTCATTCTTCTCCCCAAAAGCCAGGAGCTTTCATCCCCGAAGTGGGGGGAGCTTCCGGACGTCTGAATTATTGAAGACATGGTAGAGTGCCTTCAGAATCAGAGAGACAGTCTTCACTTGCATTACGAGCACCATAAAATGTCTTTTTATCTTATTCATCGTCTCAAAAACCCGCGTGAGCCCCATTGTAGACAGTGCACTTTGGTGGGGAAAGCAGTCTTCTCCCTGCTACCTGGTTCTCTGCCTGGCACACGGGGGGATGTGCTCAGATGCCTCCACTGGCATCTTCAATGCTAAACTGAGACGGAGGGCGCATCGACGGAGACCAGCTGGTCTTTGCAGATGACTTCGCAGAGGACTGTCACTGCTTTTCTGTGAGCAGCGTCACTCTTGCTGCGTGCAGGGTTGGGGCCTCCTCAGTCCTGGCCTCCGTACAGCCTGCTTCACGAGATGCACAGGAAGCCAGCAAACCCGCCTTTCCCCTGTAGTGTGGTCTGCGGGGGGCGAATGCAACAAGAAACTGAGAGCGCATCTCTCTGAAGGGCACACTCACTAGGACCCGGCGCCCACTCCGCCCTCAGCAGCTGTATCCTAATTGTCAGTGGCACTCGGGCCTGCATCACATGGGTTTCTGTGACTCCCAGCATTCGTCGGATGAGGGATTTTGCTATTGGCTTGTTCTGCTTCCTTTGTGAACACAGTGTTTGTAACTCATTTTGCAGGTAGTTTTAGAAGCTTCACGCCAATAATGGGGCTCTTGCCCATTTTTCCTGCTTGTTTTGGTCTTTTTTCATTTAGTGACAAAATGAATTAAAGTGTTTTTTTTTTTTTTCCTTTGTGTGCTTGTTCTGAAAAAAAATTGAGGTTTTCCTTGAAGGTGAGAAGAAACTGATGGCTTCATGTTGTCATCTGACCAGTTTTTATAGCATATCCTGTGCCCCGGGCCAGATGAGTTGCTGAGTCAATGCAACCTAATTTTCAGATATTCATCGCTGTGTTTCCTTTCCTTACTTTCCATTTTTGGGTGAAATCAGTGCGCTCACAGAATGACTTGTCCTGGGACCTAGATTCATAGCTGTATTCACACGGAGCCCTGCCCAAGATTTATGTTTATGATATTATACCGAGTTGTGCCATTTACATGATTAGTTATGTCATTACTTTTAGGCTCAGATGATCCACTTTTGTGATTTGGGCTATGACACAGCGAAATAGTAGAACAAAAATACAAACTTAACAATGAAAATATCTGTGTGGAGACAGGTTCCAGACTGTTCACTGAATCCAGCAGAGGTAAACTGACTAACTGCTGTAGTTACAGTACAGTATAAAATAGGTGATGAGAATATACCGTTCAGCACAGGGAATTATACCCATTATCCCCATTATCCTGTAATAACCGATACTGGAATATAATCTACGTAAGTACTGAATCGCTATGCTGTGTACCTGAAGCTAACACAATATTATAAATCAGTTATACTTCAATAAAAAAAAAGCGTTAATGGGATTTCTGTGAAAATTATAATTGCTTGCATTGCAAATCTCTGAACACAATTGTTTTAACTCCCCTTTTCCTCTGAAGTCACCAAAGCTCCAGGGAGCACACTTTGGGAACCTTTCCCTACTCTGGATGAGAGCATTTCTAGACCAGAATGGGGTATGGGTGGGAGGGGGCTGGCCCTGGGTGAGGTATAAAGAGAACAAAGAAAGAGAACTGAAGAAATAACAGGTCTGGGCTTCTTGTTTGGGAGAGTTGGGGAATCAGGAATTTAAGCTATGTCTCCTAAGTGTTTCTCTTTCTCCTTCCTCGTCCCTTACAGAGTAAAAGCCAGGGCTCCGTCTTTGTCCGGATCCACGCCCCATGGCAAGTGCTGGCCCGAGAGGCGGAATTCTTGAAGATCAAAGTTCCCACCAAGAAAGTATGAGCATGTTTCTTCTGGGTTTGGGGCCTCCCGAGGGCTGGCTGGATGTGTGAATAGCTTCGGGAACAGGGCCAGGTGGGACCTGGGTTCTGCGGAGTTGGAATCACACTTGTCTCCCTGGGGACGCTAAGTTTGGGACAGCGGAGGAGACGAGGAAGAGATGGGAGGGGAGGGGCTGGGCTTGGGAGATCGTGTCACCTCAGAGCACCGCCAGGACGTGCTCCACGAGAAGCTCACGTTGCCCTGGTCCAGCTCCTTGATTTCTCTGTTGTAGCCCCCTTCTCCCTCCCTCCCAGCATGGCCAGGCATTTCTTTAGAGCGAGCGTAGCAATGAGCGCAGACTAGCGAGCCTTGCCGACTGGGCAGGCAGCCTGTGGGGAGAATAGCGCCAGGCTTGCCACGAAGACACCTCTTCTGGTTGTGACTCTGTCACTAAGTTTGGTGTGACCGTGGGTTTCTGTGAAATGGAAGGTTATTTCTCACTCGGGTTGATCAGAGTCACCTGGGGAAAGTGTCCACAGTGTTCACGCCTGGACCCCACCTGGGGCTTTGATTTAGTTGGCTGGTATGGAATGAGGCTTTAGCATCAGTATTGTGAAAAAAAAAAATCCCCAGGAGGTTTTGATGCCCATCTGGGTTGAGAGCCACACATTCAGATGATTTTTGAGGTCCTTTTCAGCCATTGGAGTCTATGTATAACTTAAAAATTCCCCAAGGAATTCCTGGATGACAGTTCCCTTGCATAAGAAAATCCAGCAAATACCTCCAAAGATAAGAGAAATGTGTCCACAGATTCACTCTTCTTTTTTCTTACTAGGTATTTTAGGAGAAAGGGTGGTTATTGACTTTGATTATTTGAGGCGTCTCTAGAAAGGGCCCTGGAACAGGTGATACTCTAGTTTAACCATAAATGATCTATAGTTGATCTGTCTGTGTCTCTGACACACACACACACACACACACACACACACACACACACATCCATCAATAGTTTTACTTCCCAAGTGGTGACCTAGCTTTGCAGAGATCACGACTTCATCATTCTTACTGCCGTTACCATAAATGTTCACCATCCCCGTCATTAACAGAACTGCATATTTGCTGCTTTCTACACAACCACTATTACCACCCGCCTTCTCTCATCACCATCTCCACTATCAGTAGCATGGTTAGAGAGAGCAGAACCTCTGGATTAGCATCACTGGCTATGTGTACACCATCTTCGCTACAGCAGATCTGTTCTCGTCAAAAATCACTCATCAGATATCGTCATGTGTGATGCTGTATCACGCACCCCTTATTCAAAAAGGATGAATTCTGTGGGTTCTGCTCTTATAGATCTGTTAAGGTGGATAACACACCCGTGGCAGGAGGACAAATGACTATTGAACAATGAACAAGCGTGAGCATGAATATTAGCTACAAACACCTTGCCAGTAAAAGGTACATGTTTGGGGGCCTCACGCCTGAGTGTCTTGGTTTCACGAGGATCACGCTGTGACCTTCTCCCCTTCAGTTGCACTGCTCAGCTCTCTGTCTCCTGGTTTTTGACCCCTCAGTCCCAGCACCGCTGTCCTCAGGTGCAGGCACCGTCTTGGCTCTGGACCTCCACCCCTCCTCTGCTGATGGTGTCCCCATTTGATGGCCACATGACCCAAGTCAGCTGTGGATGGAGGTGTCTGCTTCCCTCTGGGGGTGCCCTCACTTAACCAACCTTCCCCTTTTCTTTCTCCTGTCTTCCTTCTGCCTTCAATATATATATATATTTTTTTTTCTTCTCCTTTCTCTGGCTTATATGAATATCTAACGTTCTCTTAATCTCTTCGGTTTGTAACTTGCTTCCTATGTTTTTATCTGTGCTGGCTGATCCTTGGAAAGAAGGTGAGCAAACTTTAATGCCTCTGCTATTGCTTCTCTCCCCAGGACAGTCGTTTTTGCGGGAAATACAGAGACTTAGAGGAAGTGTGCACCCTTCTCCTCTCCGCTCTTTGTCCCTTCTTCTCCTTTGCTGCTCTTCCATCCTTCCTCGCCCTCATGCTCGTCCGTCCCTTCTTCCCTCTCCCTTCCACCTCTCTCCTGATGTCCTGAAGCCGTCTTCTAGCCTCCCTCTCTGTTCTTGGAACATCTGACCGCACCTCTCTCTCTGTCACCTCCTCCTCCACCTTATTCACAGTCTCAGTCCCCAAGTAGTGCTGGTCACTCTGGTCTCTGCTTGTCCTTCCATGAGCTCATGCCTGCGGGAGCATAGTTTTCCTTATGTGACACATCTGCCCCCAGAGCTCGTGTGCCCCCATACACTAAGCCTATTGGAACTTACCATCCATCGTTTAGGAAGTACCTGCACTTGGATTTGCAGTTGAGGTGACTAGAACAAGGACGTGTCATGACGCAGCCATCTCTGAGTCGCCTTCCTTCTTTTTCTTTTTTGCATTTCTTTTTTTATCATTTAAATATATTTGACATGTAACCTTGTGTAAATTTTAGGTGTACAACATATTAATTTGATACACTCATAGATTGTGATATGATTGCCACTGTAGCCATAACTAGCCTCTCTGTCATGTTACCTAATTATCCTTTTTAGTGGCTGGAATCACTAAATTCCGGACTCTTAGCAACTTTGATGGTTATGATACACTATTGCTGTGTGTGCTCAGTCAGCTGTGCATGAGGTCTCTCGGGCTCATTTACTACCTGCTGCAAGTTTGTGCCCTTAAACAGCGTCTGTCCTGTCCCTCCACCCCCATTGCCTGGTAACCACCATTTTCTCCTTGTTTTAACAAGGTTGGCTTTTTAGATTCCACATGTAAGTGACGTCATACAGTACTTTTCTTCCCTTGACTCACTCACCTGGCGTAACGTGCTCCAGGTCCAGCCGTGGTGCTGCAGACGTCAGGGTTTCCTTCTTTCTCGGGGCTGAATGATATTCCATTATATGCATGTGTGTGTGTGTACTTATATATATAATATGATCTTCTTTATGCATTCACCTGTTGTTGGACCCTTCGGTTGTTTCTTCCCCTCCTTCCCTTTTATTTTGGAGGCATAGGGTGGTAGACACTGCATCAGTTGAGTCCTTGGAAGACTGGGCTTCTAGCCTTGGTTCTGCACTCACTTGCTGTGTGATTTGGGGACGTCACCTCATCTTCCGGAGCCTCAGTTTCCTCATCTGTGATGTGGGCATAGTAACAGCTGCCCTGTTTTTCTTAGAAGGTTGTTGTAAGAATCCAGTTCTTGACTAGTGCTATGGAAACACAGGAGTTTATTACCGTGTCTGTGTTCTCAAACATTTATGTGTGTATTCGCAATTCCTAGTTCCCCAGTCACCTTCCCTCCTGACGGAATAGGCAGCCAACACTGATGGAGCTCCCAGAGGAAGGGAGTCTGTGGAGAGACCCTGAAGGGCTCAGAAACCATCAGAGCCCCCAGAGTCTACAGCCAAGGGCACGACAGGAAGAAGGCACACACCCAGACATCCCAGCACGGATGAAATACCGTGTCAAGTAGCAGCCCGTTAGCACAGCCCGGCACAGATTCTGTCTGGGAAAATGCTGGTCCGGGGAGCAAGGCCAGGTGGTGGCGCTGATGAGCACCAGATGTAACGGAAGGAACTTTTCCCCGTAGTGTCTACAGGCCCCGGACTTCACACAGGTGGACTGTGCTGGCATCCCTGCTCAGCCGCAGGGCCCCAGATCTCCTTTGTACTCACAGACCACAGCGGCTTGTGACTGACCTCCCTGGGGGTGTTGTAACCACGAGAGGAGGATATAACTTGGTATCCCGGGTGGGATGCCAATTCCAGGGGTGGGTTAGACCCAGTTCCTGGGGTGAGAAAGGAGCATGGTGGTGGTGAGGACGAGATGGGGCAGTCTGCAGGGCTAGCACTGAGTCCAGTGGCATTTTCCCCTCTTTTTAATGGGCTTGGGAAGTGACTACAATGGGAGTAAACCACATTTGCAGACAGCCACGTCCTGGCGGCAGGGGTGGGCGGGGAGGAAGACTGAGGCATGGGGTGGGGTCGGTCAGCATCCTCCAGGCTGGTGGAGGCCGATGGAGGTTTGGATCATAACTCAGTAGGGTCCGGAGAGACCGGGAAGATGGGGAGGAAATCACAACATCAAGATCTCCAACCTGGACGAATCCACAGTAATGCGTCCAGGGACACGGAGTCCTGAGCACAGATATTAACCGTGGGTGGTGGGGGGGGGAGTCTTGGAAGGAAGCCTTTGTTTTCCAAAAACAACAACAGAAGAGCCAGTATTTTGTGAGGGACACTCGGCATCCTTGCACAGGAAGGGGGCAGGAAGGCCTGGCCTTTGGCCCTGAGCAACCTGGGACGGTTTGAAATGGATGCTTTCTCACCTCTGTTCTTTACCAAGGTGGTCAATATCTATGTTGATTTATCACTGACTTTTTTATATATACGAACGAGCACCCCGCCTCCGGGAGAATTGATGGGGACGAGGTAACAGAGTCTGTTCTGGTCGTATTAACGAAAGCGTGTTCATCCAGCCAGAGTCCACTAATTTCGGAAGAAGGGACATGCCTGGGATGGGTGGAAATCACTTTCGTCCAGTCTGTCAAAGTTTTCGTAGCTTTGTTGATAGAATGATTTATATTACAGGGGTCACGTTTGCTGTTCCCAGGAGCCTGTAAGGACTTTAGCTTACAAGTTCTTCGCATGCATGTAGATGCTGTTCACCTCCAGCCAGTGGTACCTTTGTAGGAACGCAGGCTCAGAGCTCCCCTCATCTCCCAAACAGGAGTAATGAGTGCCGTGGAGGGCTGCCGTAAGGAGAAGTGACCGTGTATTCGGAGGCCTGTCGCAGAGGCGTAGCCTGTCTTACTACTGTTTTCGGTATCGTCATTCGCGTGTGATGTGTGTAGGGCACACGGCTGGCCCGGGTCGGGACTGCTCCTCCCTGCTGCTTCTCTTCCCAGCAGCATCTTCAGTGTTGGGTCCAGTTCCTGAAATCTGCCCAGGCAGCCGGCAGCCC